GTATATATGTATCCTAACTCAAATGTTACCATAAATTAATCATAACTCAGTGATCAGAATAGATACTGGAATAAAAGCTGATTCGTCAGTGTTCCTTGTAGTGGATTTATCTATTCATACATCTGTGGTAGGGGACTGCACAGAATGCATACGGCAGTATGATAAAATCTCTATTCAACTGATAGGTTACCTGGGTAGGTTTTGCTATCAAGACAGACAATCACGACAGAAAAAGATAAACTGTGGTTTGATGAGTAAAAAAAGCATACCCCTCAACATTCCTCTCACGACAATGAAGTGATTCTGATAGACGATAACGTCAAAAAAACAACAACTGAAAGGTCTGTGGGGTTTTAGATGATTAAATAGGTCAAGGAGACCAAACATTTATACTCAGACTTTGATGTGTGAATCTCCAGGAAGCGTCTTAGCTAAAAGATGTCAGCATTAAAGTTGCAGCACCTGTGCACGTCAGGCTGAACATAAAGGACAAGGTTTTATAAAATGCTCCAGCAGAGCCAAGGATCCCTCGCCAAGCGTGGCACCAATAATAAAACAGTTGACTGTAATAAGCAGAGTAATCTTTTTAAAAGTACTACTCTAAATATTCTGTTATACCTGAATACTTTGATACAGGCTAGCTGACATGACTTACCTCCATATTATTACATGGAGGTAAGCTGTACACAGATAAGAAGTATTAGTGTAAGACAAACATTAACAGCTATCTGCTAAAATTACTAAGCGTTGCTAAGATACGGCTGCACGTTGCACTTTTGTCAGCTGGGTTTGACTAGCTGTGACGAACAAATGCTTTAGAATTACCTGAATTTCACAAGGTTCGCTGACGCAGCCTTACAACTTCACTAACAGTTAGACTGTGTAATACAAATTTCTTCTTCTTCTTACAGTAAACTGGCATGATGAGGTGAAAACAGTGTTTATATCTTGTTAATCCTTTAAACCCTGAAACATAAAATCATTTTATAATTTTTTTGATAAATTAAAACGAAAAAAAGAAATGTGCAAAAGTGCAATTTAATGTTCACAGTAATGTGAAGTACAGTATAACAGGTTTAGGATTAGGGTTAAAAAACGGATGATGTTGAGGTCTAAAAAAAACCCGATGAGGGTTAAGTCTCAGCAGTTAATGCTGTATGAGGTGTTCCACTGATGACAGATTTACAGCTTTGACAGGAAGTGGCAAACAAGACTCTTCCTCACTGTTTGAATAATCTGCGCCCAGGATGCAATCTTGAGCAATAGTGGAAAAGGCAGAACATAAATTGCCTACAGTTTTTAAAATCCCATAACCTTTTTGTCATTAAACAAGCGAAAATGCAAACATTAGCAGCGGTTTCTATTAACACTAAACGCTTAAACATTTAATGTAAAAAGCACCAATTTAGAACAACTGCACATTCGTGAAAAATCCAGTTTGCCTACTGTCCATAGCTGAATACACACAAGCTGTGGCAAGAAGCGCGAACATAGTGTGTAAAATTTCTAAACAAATTTGATATATTTTGATGTTTATTTTAATTCCGTGAAACGTCGTTCTAGCTGTCTGTATGAAAAGCTTCAGAAAGCTCCTGCACATTACCATAAACAGGAGGGAGCCTATGGTAA